CTGCTTTTAAAGGGGACTGATGAAGTTAAGCCATTTGCATCAGTTCATATTATGCTTATAAAACCAGCCGCTCTAACGAGCCTTGCATTGTACTGGCATATTAATGTAATATATGCCAAGAAAATAACTTAAAGCAGTTTTCCCTTTGAGTCATCTTTTGATGTCCCTCCCCACGTCGGCTTTTGTCTAGTCTGAGATGCTTATTCTAGTAGCTTTACATTAAATAGAAATTATTTCTCTGCTATAAGAATGAATTGTTAGATGGAGGAAAGTAAATTGTTTATTGTCATTTAAAAATATGTGCCCTGGCTGGTGTAGCTCAGTGGATTGAGCGCGGGCCTGCGAACCAAAGGATCACGGTTTGATTCCCAGTCAGGGCACATGCCTGGGTTGCAGGCCAGTTCCCAGTGGGGGACGCATGAGAGGCAACCATAGATTGATGTTTCTCTCCCTCTCTCCTTTCTTTCCCCTCTAAAGATTAGCTAGATAAAAAAAACTTAAGAAAAATATGTTTTCCCCAAGACGATTCATAGACATATTATTTAAAATACTGACACTCTGGGCCAGTGTTAGTAAGCTGTGTTACTACCGCCGTGCCTCACTGTGTGGTCAACCTGTGGTCATTGGTGTTAGTTCAACACCAAGAGGAATCCCCGTTTCGGGGGTGCAGTGAAGAAGAAACTTTACTGAGTGCACACAGTTCAGTTGCGAAACAGCACAGCTGTTAGAAAGCCCTGGAACCAGGCCCCTCTCTGGCTTGACAGCGCTGCTCTGCTCTGGCCTCATGTTTCATCTTCAGGGTTTCAGCCCCAGCAAAAGAAACACAGTTGTTAGCCTTCGGTGGAAAGGGAAAATGAGTTCTCTAAGCCAGAGGGGAGCTGACTTCTGAAAACAGAAGTCCCCACCCCTGCTTCCTCATGTAAATGAGGACTCTAAATTCTCACAGTTTGATTGGTCCAAAAGGCACTGTTCTGATTGGCCAGAATGGAGGTGCTCTAATTGGTTGATGGGGGTATAGGTACACAGTTCCAATTGGCTAAGGAATGCCTCTGTTGGTTGAAATAGGATTCCAGGGACAACTTTAAGGGCTGGCTCAGAGAGCAGAAGCAGTGCAGGAAGGCAGCTCAGTGGAGGAGGCAGGTAGTTTAGTGCTGGCCTCTCCCTGAAGTACAGTTTGCACGAGAGGCCCCAGTGTAGAAATGGTTGCTCGGCTCTGTTTTTAAAATTGGAGTCCAGTTAGTTACCCAGGAGCCCTTCTGAGTAGGTATCTTCTTTCTCAGGGTCCACAGTACCTATCAGAAGTTACTGAATTTCCTTTTTCACACTTTTCTGGTTGGAGTACCTTTCCTCTTCTTATGCAATTGCCACTCATATGTCAAGATCTCCCAAGGTGCTGTGGGAAAAGCAGAGGCTCTGAGGTCAAACGGAATACCAATTCCATTGTTTATTAGTTACAGTCCCTTTGTCCATAATACCAGATGACCTGGGAAAGTTGCCTACCTCGTAGGTCTTCCTTCATTGCTCACGTCTGTAAAACTAACACCCTAAATACCCACCTCATGTGGATTTTATGAGCATTAAATGAAATAGAACACAAGTATGTACTTGATGCAGAAGAGGCCTTGAATTACTTCTGTTTGGATTCATCAGCTCTTGTGCTATTTGTCATCACAACTTGTTACAAATTAGCAGACCTGGACAGAGATTGGTCCCCACTAGATCTAATGGCACCCTGATCGTGTCCCTGCTGTGTCCTCAGCACCATGTGCTCTCTCCATTCAGCTATGGTTGTCAGCTGAATGAAACAAGACATCAGCCAGCTGGCAGGCAGGAAAACCTAGCCCTGCCCTCTCAGTCGGAGGGACCCTTGACCTAGTGTGTTTATTGGAAGGAGCTCACAGTCCAGAGAGTTTCCTTATTGGAAGGAGTTCACAGTCCAGAGAGTTTCCTTAAGAATACCTAGAGGGGCTGTCTCACTCAAGAAGAACTTATGCAAATACTGCAAGAGTTGCGGGTGAATGAACTGATGCACTGGATGAGAACTACCAACTGCCATATGTTAATTTCGTTACAAGTGCACACCCAACTATACTACCCTCAAACTATAAAAAGATACAAATTGACAGTTCCTCTTCCCAAAGGAAGTGGTGAAAACATTTAATAACAGGTATGTCAAAGAGAATCACCTCTCCTAAGATCTGGATGAGTTTTCTTCTGCCTTGTCTAAGTTTTGCTAGCTGTGTTCCTACTTTCTCCTAGGCTCTGCCCTCCAGGACGCCCCTCCAGCATGATCTGCAGATAGCTGCTGCTGCTGCTTACGTACAAACCCGAAGACTGGCTTTTCACTGTGTCTGCATTCTGCACACTGTTGCGTTAGCCACCTTCAGATTTTATATACTGCTCATGAGTAAGAGTCAGGCAGTGGGAGGGCAGGCATGATTTTCACTGCCATTATTAGGAGAAGAACTATTGTACTGAAGTCCAAGCCACAAATGGAGCATCCCTGTGGATGCCAGGACACCACCCTTAAATATTCCACCAACCTGCCATAGCTGTCACCCAATAGTATGTGGGATGCAATGAAAATGCCACCTGTTATTGTGATTGCTGTTCACTTATAGCCCTGGGTCAGCAACTCTTTATTTATTCTCAGCACTAGTTCAGGGGCCCACTTAGAGGCTGCAGAAGGTGATTGTCCCAAGAACAAAGGACTGAGCCTCCCAAGTATTGAATTGCAGAGCACAAGAGGCTGGTGAGCTTCGCTCTCTAGCCCCTTGAGATAGATGTGTGTGTCTTCAGCCTTGTATGTATTTTACAGCTGAAAGGTGCATAACTATTTAACTTTCGGTGGGAGTTTAATCTGGAAGATGCTTTCAAGAGTAATCACGCAGTTTGTCGTTTCCCTGAGCTGCATCACATCGGGCTTTTTAAGTAAGACTAAAATTAGTGATGGGTGTGTGAAACACTGCCAGTGAATAGATGAAAGGAAGTCATACTCATCTAGCTAATTTTGTGTTACCAGAAAATGCCAGGCCCCTGAATAAACACGAGGAGTCAACCGTGACGTCAGCCAGTCACAGGTCTTCATTGCGCCCATCCCATGCCTTCTTTCATTTACTTCTCACAACCTCATCAGGGTCACGTCTGTTACTAAACACATTTTACTGGTAGGAAAGTATGGTTCCATGATTTCTAATGTCCTACTGACAAAGCTAATGAACAGCAGAACCAGGATTTGAACTCGTATACAGAAGCCTGTGCTCTTCCTGCTCCTGCTCCTGCCCCTGCCCCACCCCCAGGGTGAATCTGTTGTGAACACCTTTTCCCTGCAGGTTGTGTATGTGCATGAGCCTGTGCTGAAGGCTGCTGCTCAGTTTTCCTCTCTTCCCCCTGTTATCGTTCCTGTCCTGCCCATTGTTTCATGACCAGGTTCATTTCACGGCTTGTGTTTTTCCCCTTTTTTCTATTTGAATGATGGGGGCATGGTTGGCCACTTCTTGGATAGTGAGCTGTGACAACCGTATCCTTATTTGAAGAAGTCCTTGCTTCTTCATCTCTTTCATTTGGCTTGACATCAAAGCGGAAAAAGGTTACCAATGACGAGATGAACCTTTTCAGTGTGCAAATTATATAACAGTACAAATGACTTTATATCAGTATAATTGAGTGCTTAACTATTCATTTTTATCACTGCCTGCTCAATCTGTCAAGCTAGGATATTTTAATTCACAGGAATGACTCAGATCTTGAAGAATGAATGTGAAAACACTGAATTACAAGCCCCGCCACTAGGCTGTGAACTCCCTGAAGATGGGCTTCGTCCTGTAGGTCACTGTGTCCCTACTTCCTGCTCAGGGCTGCCTATAATAGACCTCCCATGAAGAATAAATGAAGCTATAAATGAACACCTGCTTTGGCCTTCAAACCTTTGGATATTGACTCTGATTTTCTTAGAACAGTGGAAGGTGATAGATGTTGTGTGACTCACTTTAAGAATCTGGTGCACTTCTTAAGAGGCTTGTGGATTATGCTTTGGTATAAATAAGTAATTAATCAAAATACGGTGTTCTTTGAGTTATACAAATTATCCAACCTACATATATTTAGTTCCTGTAAAATAATTATTATGATAGCCAGTGATAAATACTACAAAGAACAATGAGGCAGAATTTAAAGAAATGAAGAATGGTGGACTGGTATTTGTTACTTAGAATGGTCGTGTGAAATAGATGAGTGACACTATAATGCGAAATAGCTGGACATGTAAACATAAAAGTTAGACTCTGCACTTGAGGTAAGCCGTAATCAGCGTGCCCATCTGAGCAGAGCTGAATCTGGCTTCGATTTTCACAGTAGCTTTAGAGCCAAAAAGATGACTTCACATGCTCTTTTCCCAACACTTTGGTGAGTGAAATAATCAGTCAGTTCTGTCCTGATACTTTTTCTTATGCCAGCTTGGCTCTTAAAACAAGCACATGAAATTTGGAACAATAACTCAAAATTGAATTTTTAAAGTCAGTGATAGGAGTATTAAAATGTATATCATCAGTGGTGGATCAAACAAAAGCTGCGTTTTTAATCCTCATTGTAAGTTGTAAAGTAATCTTCAGAGGAAGGCGTTTTAGCTGAAAAGGGAAAGGTGTGTAGGCTGTGAAACTCTCCGTAAGAGAACATTGTTAAAATAAATGGCTGAAAATAATGATTTAAAACACTCTGTACACACATGTACTGGTAGCTTTTCACACTGAGGCGAACTCAGTTCAGTCCTGGCTCAGTGTGGGTCAGGTTCCCTGCACCTGAAACTTCCCATTCACAGTCTTGTTTAAACCATCCCGTGGCGGTGCATGGTTGCATCATTTTTCACATACACATTTGAACTTGAGTAGTGGGAAGTCAGTTAAAAGAGCCTCTGCCTGATTTTAGGGAAGAGCCTGATGCATGTGTGCAGACTGGTGTGTCATGGTCAGGTGTAACCTCATGTCCGGACATTCCCTTTGCAGATGATCCAGTCCCTCAAGGCCCTCATTGAAAATGCAGATGCTGTGTATGAAAAGATTGTACATTGTCAGAAGGCAGGTAAGTCAAAGTTTGTCTTCTCTTTAAAATGAATTTAGTAGCATCGTGTACAAGAAGGGGGAGGCCCCAAAACCCAGAATTATCTTCTGGAGGGCTGGCCTCTTGTGGTTCAGGCTTCTCCTGCTAGGTGAGTGTTCTCAGAACCCCTCGGTATTGGTGGACTAGCTGGCGTTGTGAGGGGCTGCATTCGGCTTCAGTGAGTTTTTTTGAAGACTCTCCCAGTGTGTTCACCCATTTCCTGATGGGTGATTTACCAGCGCCCCTGCACACACCACACTGAGTGGTCAGCAGTTTTTGACCAAAACCAGCATGACCCCCATGTCCCACCCTCCTTACTCACCTGATCTTGCCCTGAGCGACCTTTTTCTGTTTTCCCGGATGAAAAAAGTCCTCGAAGAGAAACATTTTGCCGATGTGGAAGAGGTGAAACAAAAAACACTAGAAACACTGAAAGACATCAGAATCAGGGAGTTCGAAAACTGTTTTGAACAGTGGAAAAAAGTCTCAATAGGTGTACTGACTGCATCAAATGGAGAGTACTTTGAAGGCGGCTGAAGTTTAAACATGTGAGAATAAATACACAATTTCTGTTTCCTTGTCCTCTCCTCTTGTATTTTGCCTCTAAACTACTCCACCCTATTGATACTATATCAAGAATCAGGAAATCAGATATCACAATTATTTCTCCACAGTTAAAGAAAGTACTGATTCACTGGTTCTCAAGCCCAGATAACCAAGCACCAGGTCTGGGGCTGGGTGGGGAGGGCGGTGTCTTTTCAAATATACTGACATTAGTCTGGAGTGTGACTTAAGAATTCGTAGCTGTTGAAAGCTCCCCCGTTTTCCTAATGAACAGCCAAGGTGGAGAACCGCCCCCACTAGACTCTTCTCGGTATAACATGAATTTTTAGCATGTGGTGGGAATGGCGAAGCTTGAGCAGAGAAAGAGTCAGTTCTCAGAAGGGAGACTGGGCACCAGTTACAATCTCTTAACACTCTTTAATGCACTGACATTTTCGAATGCTTATGAATTCATTAATTTAACATCCAAATGTTACACGAGGTTATAAAATTCTAGCTACATAAACGACCATCTAATTAATTTTAGCTCTGATAAAACCAAAAAAATCAAGTATTCTGCATTGTAATAAGAACAGATAAAATGGAGTTCTTTCAATTTTCAAATTTTGTTTGAGTATCAATTTGGAAGATTTTCATGTGGAGATTTGTAGTTCATAAATAAGAATATCTCCCCTTAATTTCTAAGGTTTTTGGTGGATGTTCTTTAAAATCAAAGCACTGTAACTATTACCTAGCCTGAGGGGAAAAACACGCTTTCATATCAGAATAAACTTGTTTAAAATAGATTAAAGATAAGGATATGTGTGACAGTTTTCTTCTCTTTTCTTTTCTTTTGGTGTTTATTGAAGGAATATGCACATTAGTGACTAATGAACAGACAAAAATTCTTATCTTATTTTATTCATTTTGTTACCAAAACATTACTAACGAAGTGATCTTTCTACTTCCGGGGTAATATTCCCTATATAACCGGTCCTCAAAGAAGTTACTTCAAACACCATCTTCATCACAACACTGCCCTACACAAAACCACCTAGTAGCTCGCTACAAAGTCTGTGGCATTAAACGTCAACTTCTAACCTCCCACACAGAGCCCTCTGCCCACCAGTCCACCCGTTTTGACAGTGTCATATAAAATTCATTAATTAAATCATCTGCTCATTGAGTGACCATCTTTTGAACTTCCATTACACATAAGGTATTTGTAAGAGGTACTTGCTTATCAGAAATAAACAAGATTGGTTTTGCCATCTAGAACCTTCCAATTGAACCATAGATAAGAAAGCGGCTACACACAGTTGAACATGTTGAGAACTAGCTGTGTGTCGCTCAGGAGTCTGACCTTGGTTTGTGGGGCAGTGGGAGCCACTGATTTTTTTGCAGAATGGGAGAGAGATTGAGCTTTAAGACGATCAGAATAGCTGTGTGCAGAGAATGTTCGTGGACAGAACCTGGTTTGGGGGGCTACTGGAAGCTGTGAGGAAGGACGGGGGGATGGCGTCCATGTAGCCTGGCCTTTGGGCCGCCCCTCTCCATTCCTTGGTGTTTCTCCTGAGTTGGATTTTCACCAGCCATTCCTCTGGTAAGACGTCTCCCTCCTCTCTGCTGGTCTGTACTTTTTCTGTTTTGTCTCAACAGTCTTCCAGGAGACCTTTTATGGTTCCCGAATTTATGTTTCCTAACCATTCTATTCAGCCCTTCAGCTGATAGAGCTCCTTCGTTATTCTGTATTTCATTAACGTATGCTGCCTTCCAGATAGGATAGTCCCCTCCAGTGGTACCAGGCCTGCATTTTGAGTCACTCTTGGGACTGTACCCATAACATCTGTTCTAACACACTACTCAAATATTAACTGGCTAAGTGTGATTCGACTTTTATGATGTATTTGCTTCTATTATTACTCTGGGAATTATGAACTATCAGAATTTGAAGCTGCATTTATTAGAAAAAAGAACTGCTTATTAATGGACATTTTGTCGATTCTTTGTAACTTCATCGGTTTAGGGAGTTTGATAATTTCTAACATAATGTAGCTTTATGTTATTCTTCTATTTGATTTTAGTAAGGGATATATTTGTATTTAAAACACTGAAGAGTCTTGTCTATTAAGGATTTTTTGCTTGGGTGGCAGGGCAGAGAAGAACCACTGTGTAGTGGTTTGCGTTGCTCTGCAAAGATCTTTAGAGATATATAAGGATTATCTTTTATTTTTAATTAAATTTACTGGGGTGGAACTGGTTAGTGAAATTATAGGTTTTAAGTTTACAGTTCTCCAATATGTCATCTGTATATTGCGCTGTGTGCCTGCCACCAGAAGTCATATCGTCTTCCATGACCGTGTATGTGTCCCCTTTACCCTCCACTACCCCCCCATTCCCTCCAGGAACCACCATTCTGTTGTCTGTGTCTGTGAGTTTCAGTCTCATATACCACACAGGAGTGAAATCACGTGGTTCTTAGCTTTTTCTGACCGACTTACTTCGCTTAGCGTAATATCCTCAAGGCCCATCCACATCGTCTCAAATGGCAGTACTTGGTCTTCTCTCAAGGCCGAGTAGTAGCACCCCATTGTCTATAGTGGCCCATCTCTAGTGATTATCGTTTGGTTTCACAGTTCCTGCTGACCGCCTACCCATCCCTCCGCCTTCAAGTGCTTATTTTAGAGACCCTTGATCTTTTCTTTCCCGTGTTTACAGTTACCATAAGGGCCTATAGTCATTAGTCATATGAAGAATTGCTCATTTGTATTGGGCTTAAAAACATTTGCATAAGATTTTCCTTTTAGTAAGTAATTGCTGTTCCGCTTGCATAACTTAATCTCACAGTGGCAAAATGAAGACATAGGTCACCAAAGTGCTGTAGGACAGGATTATTTCAGAAGTACTTCAAACTTTTAAACACTAATTTTTATTCTTATTAGATAAGCACTCATTTGTATTCTTGCCATTCAAACAATTAGGTAAAAATAAGGAGTTACTCTTCCCTCTGCAGTCGCATGTTAAAAAGTGCACCCGGTTGGACAGGCTCAGACTCCTGGCTGTGCAGCTGGTTGTTTGGAGATAGAAGCGTGCATGTTGATATTGAGAAGAGGGAATGAGGCAGGAGAGGAAGGTGGAGAAGTGATCTCCGGCCCAGGTAGGCGAGGGCCATGAAGGCAGATGACCCAAAGGGGTGGGTCACAGGGAGGGCAGAGGGGACACCCACCCAGTGAGCACTGGGGAAGCCTCTGTAGCTCTCTTTTAACCAGAGAACATAGCAGCACAGAGGGTCAGAGTCAAAGGGAAGTCTTAAGAAAACCATGTTCCCAGAAATAAGAAAGATGCAGAGAAGAAGTAAAGAGGGAGATGAGAAAAGGTGAGACAGGGATGAGGACGTGAGGAGGGAAGGGATCAAGCATAACCCTTGCCACACTTGACCTTGGAAAGAGGGAGGGACCCCTCGTCTTCTCAGACAATACAGAAGTCTATGGCGCCAAGAGGAATTCTGAGCAGGAGAGGAGTGTCTGCTGTTGAGAAGGTGAACAGGGAAGTGCCTACTGCCCTAGGAGAACACCAGCTTTGGGGCAAGGAAGTGAAAGAGGGAACCAGGAGCGGGCAAGGGTATGGGGGCCTTGTTCAGTCAGAGGTCCGCGGTGCTGGGAAAGGGACTCATTAAATGTTAGGTCCGCAGGAGTGATGCGGAATGAGTGGGTCTGGGCTGCCACTGAGCGAGAAAGGTTGGTAAGAAGTTCCGTGGCTACAAGAATGAGTATGTACAAATTAATGAGCACAGCTGAATACACTCAGACACTCATTCTAAATCTAACAATGCTTGTTCTTCCAAGAAGTAGCGAAGTCAGTGATTAGTGAGGAACATATGCAGGGCAGCCAACTCTCTCTCAGTCTCAATGTCCAGAAAGGCAAACTATCATTGAATTTTAATTTCCTTTTTAGTTGCTTTATTGATCTGTTTCATAAAGGATGGAAAGATGATCTAGAAAGAAACTCAAACTGCTTTGCTTCAGTGAGTTGGATATTTTTATCAGGTGAATTAAAATGGGAAGTCATTTGTTTTCTGGAAAAAAATAGAAATCAATGACATGCTTCCTGTCAAAGATGTTAACATCTCCATTTGTTCTCCACTGCCTTCTGAGCCTTATTAAAATGATAGGGTTTTTGGTTGTTGGTTTGTTGGGGTTTGTTGTTGTTTTTGTTGTTGTTGTTTAAGGCATAAACCCACAAGGACCCCCAAAAAATGGAAGCCAAAAAATGTTGGAAACCAACACCAGCTGACAAGTGATGACTGACTGAGCTGACTCAGGCAAGGTGACCCTGACGTGGTGGGTGGGGCGGGGCCTGACGTGCAGACTGGTTGACCTGCAGGCCACTCCCACCAGCTCAGAACTGGGTGGGGCCAGGTACCACTGGAAATCAGGGTA